TGGACTCAGTAAAATTCAATGCTAAATGCATGTGGCAACCTAAAAATTAAGGGTACCTGAATTAGTTATTTGTCATCAATGTTTAGTCTTTTTTGTAGCCTATTAATTTAAGATATAAAATTTTTATTTTTAATAATTATTTCTCCCGACGACAACCCCAAAATCCTTCAAAAGTTTTGTCCAGATATTTTGGTCTTCCGATCTAGCATTGCTATGCGTAGATCCGACCAAAAATTATTATTCAAAAGCTAAAGGTGGGCTACCTTCAGCTTTTGAATAATAATTTTTGGTTGTTTTACTATGATATTGGGACGGCAAATACCTCCCCAGTGACCATAAGTACTGTTAAAGCATCCAAAACGTCGGAAATTAAAATAAATAAAAACAGTTCAACTAAATGCGATAAAATCCGTAAAATTAGTTTTATTTCAATGTGCAGTATTTGTGTAAATATAGGAAATCATTATTGAAAAGGACGGTCACGTTCTTAACACTCTCTCAAAAGAAAGTGGTTGACGACTATGATTACGGGCCCCAAGGATTGATCCCGGTCCAGACGTCGTCAGTCATGTACTTAGTGGACTGTATGTCTTCTTACTTCTTTACTTTTAGGGTATACACTGGCGAAATAAAACAGCAATTGTTCGTAAATGCCCCTTGGAAATGTGATACTGAAATTTCACAACTTTCACTTTACCTTTCCTAATTTTGTTTTCGTTCATTCCTTCTTTCTTGATTTATGGCTAGAAACTGTAGCTGGTCCCAAACGAACTGAAAATTGGGCGACTTACTAAGGTACCCCAGAGCTAAACCGTAATGAGAACTGCGCCTGAAATACTCCCATTGAACTGATGATTTTTACTATCAAATTTCCATATAATGTCTCATAACTGTATTTCCTTTTTACATAACTTGTATTGCATATGCAGTACAAGTTAAACTCATAAAAACAATTAAACATTCACATTACATAATATTTATATTATATAAAACATAATATCACAATTATAAAAGAAATTTTTTAAGGTCCTAAACCTTAAAACGCCAAGTATTATCTTTACAATAATACAGTTTACATTAATATTTTGTCCTATCTTATACAATACAACAGTTTACTAACTAGAATAGAATTTTACTGACGTTACTATTATATTATTCCTTGAAAAAACGATCCAAAATATTAACAAATCGCTATTACATGCATTTAAAACTTAAATAAAAAATATTATTCTAATTAATACTAAAAAACGATTAGGACTTGCGTTTTTCTTTTCTACTAATTGCCTATACTAGTTGACAAACTCAATTTTGCGTGGCCCTCGGGATCCTATAGGAGGCTTTTGCCATCCCTTTCTAATATTGTATGTCTTAAGCGAAAAGCGCGTGGGTATGTTCTACTAGCGCCTAAAAGTCAAGATTCCAACGTTTTGTCGCATGAAATCGTATCTAACAATCATATTGAACATATAAATAATATAAAAAGCTCATTGTCGGAAAGATAAATGATTGTTGAACTTGTTATTGTTATTTTTAAATCGATTAATTGCAATTTTTACAATAAAAAGTTGTTTTAGTGGCGTATGGTGTAGATTTATTGAGTCCGCATGGAGGGATAAACACGATAACTTGAAAACATAAATTGTTCAACTCAATCTATTTTTTAATCTCTTCATCTATCACGTGATAGAATGTAGGTGGATGTTTAAATTTTGTTTTGTTTAGTTATAATATTTTTTTCGGCTGCAAAATTCCGAAGTTGTCGATGTTAGATGTAGAAGAAAGTGGACTCTGTTCGAGATCTGGGTGTGATTCTGGACAAAAAGTTGCGGTTTCATAAGCACGTTTATGGAATTGTTACAAAGGGTCTTCAAATGTTGGGGTTCGTGTTGCGTAATTCTAAAGAATTTAAGAGGACCTCTACAAAAATATCCTTGTACAAGTCTTTAGTCCGTTCCAGCCTCGAATACTGTAGTCAGGTCTGGTCTCCATTTTATGACATTTACGTGAAACGCATAGAGCGTATCCAGAAGCGTTTTTTGTGGTATCTTTCGTACCAAACTTACAAAATAAAGGATCTACCCTCATACGAAGACAGACTGACGTATTTTTAATTAGGTACCCTGCAACAGCGGAGGCTTTTGCTGGATTTCATGTTGGTACACAAAATCGTCAATGGAACCGTAGACTGTCCATAACTGCTAAGTGCAATAAATTTCAAGGTACCTTTTAAGCTAGTGCGTGTCAGCCGATACGTCCCCTTTTCAGTTGAAGGCAGTAAAACTAACTTGGGTCACCAGCTCTGCAAGACATGTGACGTTGATATTTTTGCTGATAAGCCTCAAAAATTCAAACGAAAAATTATGCAGTCCTTTACTTTTAACTAATATTTAGACCTAGTTTTAAGTTTATAGTTGTAAGTTTTAAAAAACATATTCGTTGTCCACATTGCATGCCGTGGCAACCTTTAATTAAGACGACACTTAGATATAAACCTTCCTGTAATTTCTAGTATTTACATTGTGTTCGTGTACGTCTTGTTGGTTGTCCTAAATAAATAAAAAAAAATGTTTGAGCAGCCTTGTAATAATATATTTTGCTAAACACAGATACACTTTGACTTACTCTGGGCTCAGCCGCCATCGTGAGTGGGTTACTGTATCGTTTGTTTACAGCAGCTCGTGATGAAAATTATCTATCGCTGTAGAAATGCGAAATATTCCAAAAGCCAAATTTGATACATAATTGACCAAGGTAATATATTATTATTATTTTTACAATCACAGATTTTCATTACAATATATTGTTTCGCTAAAAGAACGTAGGATTTATATATAAATACGAATATAACTTATACGTCTTAGACTTTAAGGTGTGACCTGAAACTGTACTTTTGGTGAATGCAAAATTAAAATACTGGTTATGACTAGGTGAAAAAATTTTGAAAACGAAATAAAGTTGATGAGAATTTTTTTTTATTAAGGAGTCCGGTAAAAAGACTAGTTTTTACAATGCCTGAGTAGAAATACCTAAATATTAAAGTTGATTTCTGGTCTTTTTGGGATAATTCTGTTAAAAGGTTTTTCAATAAACAATAAAAATAATTGTAATAAAAATATAAAAGTAATATTAAAAAAAATATTTGCTATTGTTGATTGAGAATTGTTTTCTACATTTTTTCACGATCGTATGAGGTAGGACTAAAGTGACCATTTATTTTTTCCACAGAGCGGGTAACCTTTAAAATAATTATAGTTTTAACACTTTTGACTGTCTTCTTGGTCTAACGGTTGTAAACGCAATTGCTGCTCATGTGGTCCCGGGTTCGAGACCCGAGTCAGGCCAAGAATCATTTATTGGGTTTTTCTGTCACAAAATTCTCAGTAGCAGCGCGGAATATTGATTTCAAACTTATTAAAGTTGGCGTGGTTTCACCACCGTGCCTCTGGAAGCACGTAAAGCTGTTAGTCCTGCGCCTGATCTCACGTCGTCTCGGATTACCGTTCCATCGGAATGTAAGAGTGAGGGAGTAGGATAGACCTGTGCTTTCCATCGACCGACACGAGCTTAGCAGTCAGAGACGGGGGTCCGCCCTCCCCCCTCGGACCAGCGGTTAGATAGCTCAAATACGCCTAAAAAGGAGACATGATGATTGGTAACAATATCAAATCATAAACCATTCATCATCATCCCATCCTCATTGCCCTGAGTCAGATGAAGCTGTAAGAGTCGCATAGACTAACAGCGTTAATATCCAGAAACTAGGACCAGACCTGTGCTTTCGCATACACTTGGGCAATATAATCTGTCCTGCGCAGATTGGTAACGGCGGCCATTCTCAACTGAGAATAGCTCAGTTGAGAATCGCCGCCATTACCAAAATTCAAACTGGAACCCTTTATTATAGTTTTAAAAATAAAAAACATAGTTGTTTGAATCTTTTAATGATCAAAAGTGAGAATGAGAATTTAGAATCATATAAAATCTGGCCGCTGGCTTTTTAATTTTTTCTAAACAGCAAATAAATACTGATTAGAAATAACTTATGTTATTTGATAATTTATTGTAGATAAATTATAAATATTAAAATAAAATAAAAAAATAAAATAAAAAATAAATTAAAAATTGTCGCTTCGTAACTTTAAGTTCAAAAGTGTAGGTTTTCAGAATAATCACGTAACTAGTCAGGCCATGCTGGCAAACCTGGTATGCACGGTGTCATAATGCTGGCACGAGTGACAGTCTGTATGATGCTATGTACACCATTTCACTCTAGCATTAAACTGTCCTTATTTACCATATTATTGATATATTATCTAATCAGTAATTAAAACATTAGGTAAACATTAATCAAAAGTGCTTAAGTGAATAAAAATGTTTTTTAATTCTTTATTTGTTTCGTATTAATTACATAGCCGATTACTATGTAATATGCATGACTTTAAATTAGTACAAATATCTTTACTTTTCTCAGAAATTAGCATTTTATAAAAATAATAATTAATTTTAATGTTTATCTTTAACACTTTCGTTCTAACAACGTCACAGAACGTCCAATTTGATGTCTTCGCGATGACGCACATAGTCTAATCACGTCCTAAGAAAATTTTAATTTCCAAGCACAACGGCTAGTAACGTCAAATCTCTGTATAATCTTTAGGTAGCTACGTCATTGCGCCGCATCGTGTGAAATTTTCAAAGTTCTAGCGCTACAATACATTAGTTTTTTTCTTACTTGAACATAAGTCACACACACATTGATAGGTACCTACACACACATGAACAACGTCGACAAACGTCGTTTTTGGTTAGAGTCGCCATACTGCCAGTCTGCTTGCGCGCCGGTACAGTGACCCACGTTTTACGCTACAAAACCCTCGCAGGCCGTGCATTTGAGAAAGTAATCGTAAGTTATTTTTTCGTTTTCTATAGTCTTGTAGGATATGGTGATAGTTGTTATGAGTGCATTATAGTATATATGCTGCAATTTTTGAATTTTATAGATGGGAAATAGAAAAAGAGGCCAGAAGAAGCCATCTAAGAAAAAAGTAATTGAAGTGGGTTGCAAAGAAAAATGTGAAGCTGGACCAAGTGGGATATCAAGGAAAACTCATTCCGTAAGTTATATTTTTAGTTTTTTTCTGAAAAAAATCTCAAATGTACGCATATGTTCTAATTTTGTGTCCTGAATAAGATGATAGCTATGTTTTTTGTTGTAGGTGGAAAAATCACGCCAAATTAGTAATAATGCTTCCATGAAGTTGTTTCAATATGATTCTTCATCAAGGCCATCTACACCAGACCCATTTAGTGATGATGGAGAGTATGGTTCCGATAACGACTATGATCCAGGATATGATGATAATACAGACAGCACTAGCACTGTTAGTGATCACACAAAGCAACGTGAAAAGAAACAACTAAAGAAACGTTCCAAGGACAACGCAACGAGGTCACATGGTAAACGCAACTCTGAAAGCAGTGTAAGTAGAAGCTCTGATTCTGACGATCGAACCGAAGGCTATAGCGAGTGCACGGATGTATGTGATAGCGATGACAACGAGGATGATACAAATTCGATATCGGCAGAATCTAGTGATGAGAGTATTTTTGACAGTGGAAAGAGAAAAAAGAAGGGGCAGAGTTCCTCTTTAGGATCAAGATACAAAAAACCTAAGATCGCCAGTGCAGATCAGAGTACCGACAGTATGTCGTTAGATTCTGAGGCATTGCTAAATAATATAGAAAATCTTGAAAGCTCTTCAGTGCAACTCGATCCTGTAGTATTAGAAAATATCTCAATTTATTCACATATCGAAGGAAGTCACTCCCATACTAATCCACAAATTCAAGGTGCTGAAGACGACCATGCTGCTGCAGCTGCTGAGGTTAATCCCGCGCCTGCCAACCTACGTGCACTGGAACTAGACGCATCTGCGCAGCGCCACTCTCCTGGTTCTCCTGCACCGGATCCAGCAGCTGCTGAGGGAAATCCCGCGCATGACAACCTACCTGCCTTGGACCTGGATGTAGCTGCGCAGCACCGCTCTCCTAGCTCTCCTGCACTGGATCGGGAGGCTGTTGAGGGAAATCCCGCGCCTATCAACGTATCTGCCCTGTACCTGGATGCAGCTGCACAGCGCCGCTATCCTGGCTCTCCTGCACCGGATTCAGCAGCTGCTGAGAGAAATCCCGCGCCTGACAACCTACCTGCGCTGTACCTAGACGCAGCTGCGCAGCGCCACTCTCCTGGTTCTCCTGCACCGGATCCAGCAGCTGCTGAGGGAAATCCCGCGCATGACAACCTACCTGCATTGGACCTAGATGCAGCTGCGCAGCAGCGCTCTCCTAGCTCTCCTGCACTGAATCGGGAGGCTGTTGAGGGAAATCCCGCGCCTGTCAAATTATCTGCCCTGTACCTGGACGCAACTGCGCAGCGCTGCTCTCCTGGCTCTCCTGCACCGGATCCAGCAGCTGCTGAAAGAAATCCCGCGCCTGCCAACTTATCGGCCCTGGATCTGGACGCAGTTGAGCAGCGCCGCACTCCTGGCTCTCCTGTATCGGATCCAACGGCTGCTGAGGAAAATCCCACGCCTTCCAACCTACCTGCTCTGGACCTGGACGCAGCTACGCAGTGCCGCTCTCCTAGCTCGTCTGCATCAGATCGGGAGGCTGCTGAGGAAAATCCCGCGCCAGCCAACCTTCCTACCCTGGACTGGGACGCAACTACGCAGTGCCGCTCACCTAGCTCTTCTGCACCACCAGAACTAAACGCTACTGTAAGATATCCAACTCCGGCCAGCACACTTGCACTGGAGGTAGTTGCAGAGCGTGGCTTGTCCGCCTCTCCTGAGCCGGAACGAGATGGTGCCGAAACGAATTCTGCGCCTACCAGTCCATCTGCTTTGGATCGGGAAGCATTTGTACAACGCAACCCTTCTATCTGTCATGTGCTGGACCCAGAGGCCGCTGAAAGAAACTCCGTGCCTGACACACTCCCCGAGATAAGTCCAGCGACCAATTGCAGACCAAGCACTCCTCCACTGATAAATTATGATTGGGAACACACGAACACAGACATATCTTCGTTCGAGTTTGATGAAAGTTCAGCAGGTGTCCAGTTTGAAGTCAACCCAGCTATGACAGTTATGGAAATATTTGATAAAATTCTTAATCCTAATATTGTAGACTATATTGTAACATGTACTAATACGTACGGGCGAGCACTATGCGAGAAAACAAGACCTACTACTCGAAACTCACGTAGCTATAACTTTAGGGACACAAACCGGGAAGAAATCTTGAAATTTTTTGGATTATGTTTGCTTATGGGTCAAATCAAAATTCCTCAAAAACGCAAGAATTTTACGTATTCCGACCCACTGTATTATCACCCAATTTTTCACTATGTGATGTCCGCTCGAAGATTTGAGCAAATCTTGAGATGTATTTATGTATCAGATTTAGATTCAAAAGGAAAAGATAAAATTGAAAAATTTATTAATGCCTTATTTATTAAACCAAGAGCTTCATGGAGTGCTATAAGCCATACAAACAGTTAAGTTTGGATGAATCTTTGCTTTTATTTAGAGGCCGCCTTGCCTTCAGACAATATATAAAGAGCAAAAAAGTACGTTACGGAATCAAATTCTTCGAGTTGACAACTTCTGATGGCTATGTTTTAAATATAATGATGTACTCCGGAAAAGACACAACTGCTCGAACTGGCAATAAATCTGAAAAGATCGTCCTTCGTCTCATGAGGCCATATTTGCTGAAGGGACATCAATTATACATGGATAATTATTACAATTCCGTAACACTTTCGCAAAAGCTAGTTGACTTAAAAACTCACACCACAGGTACCTTACGTTCAAACAGAAAAGATAATCCCAAAGACATCATTAAGAAAAAACTCAAGAAGAATCAACATGTGTGGGTACGAAAAAATAAGGTCTATGTTTCAAAATGGGTTGACAAGCGACCAGTTCTTATGGTAACAACTTCAGTTCATCCTCGGCTTATAGAAATACAAAACAGATTTCAACAAAGAAAAATTAAACCCGCAGAAGTGGCAGAATACAATCAACACATGTCCGGAGTTGATAGAGCAGATCAAATGATCTCATATTACTCCTCACCAAGGAAATCAATCCGGTGGTATAAAAAAGTGATGTTCCACTTGTTGGATGTCGCAGTATGGAACTCATTTTTTATTTTCAAAAAATACTGCCAAGCCAATTGTGATTTCTTGCTTTTCCGAGAGGAATTGATTCGAAGACTGTTGGACTTACCAGCAGATTTAACAGCAGAGCAAGTGATTTTAGCTCGCAGCAAATATGACAACAGAATCAGAGCTAATTTATTGCCACTTCCAGTCAGTACCATTGACGACGACGTCGGAAGCTAACGAGTCCATGGTCACTGGCCTGAGAAAATACCCGTGCAAGAGGGTTCAAACAAAACATCAAAGTACTTGAAATGCAAGATGTGCACGAAAAAAAAGGTGAGAAGGGAGACTTGCCTGAGATGTAAAGGTTGCCCTGAAAAGCCAGCACTATGTGCTCTTTGCTTCGAAGAGTGGCACAAAGAAGTATAATGCTTTTTTACCTATTTTGTTCCTTTTTATGAGAGTGATATCAAATAAGTATAACTGTATCATGCATATGAGTATTTAGAAGTTTTATAATTTATTGCTACGATTGTTATACTAAATCTGCTAAACTGTGTAAGACTGAATGTTATTGTGCTATACTGGTAATCTATTGATAAGATAGAAGCAGGCAACTGTTAATTTTGTGAAATAATTTGTTACTTTTATAGAAAATACCTAACTTACCAGAGTATTATTTGATTTTGTGATAGTAGCGTAAAATGTTAAAAGGTTACTCATTCATATGATAGGTAGGTAAAAGTAAGTGAGTATTTATAATTTTTATAATTTTTTGCTACCAATGTTATACCAAAACTGTGTAAGACTGATTGTTATTGTGCTATAGTGGTAATTTATTGATAAGATAGTAGTGAGAAACTGTTTATTTTGAGAAATAATTCGTTACTTCTATGGGATAAACCAAACTTACAATAGTATTATTTGATCGATATGTGATAATAGCGTAAAATTTGAAAAAGTTACTCACACATAGGATAGGAAGTAAAAGTAAATTTTATTAAACTAAAACTTGGAAGAAATTTATGGACAATTGCACCTAAATTATTTTCAATTAAGTCGAGAAGAGGGTAGATATTGACACAAAATGTGATATGTAGGTAATTTTTGAAAAATAGTTGATTTTCTAAAAATATATAACAAAAAAACTGATGATTATTGAGTATTATTCCATATCAAATCCTGTTTATTATTTTATTTTTATAAATCAAAGTCAACGTCAGGAAACGATGAGCGACAGATAATTTGCTCGTATAGTCGATTTATGATCAGACCGTCAAGTAACGTTGGAGTAATTAAACGTTGTTTCCCAAAACTTTAAGTTCTACTAGATATTTGTGGAACAACAGTTATGAACGTCAACGTGCATTGACGCTGCTTTCTTATCATGGTATCAATATTTGACAACTAGTAACAGAACGGCTGTAAACGTTGACGTTGTTTAACGTTGTTCAATATAGTGTAGAAATCTTGTCTAGAGATTAAAGCAGAACGTGTCCCAACGTTGACGTTGTTAAACGTTGTTCAATATAGTGTAGAAATCTTGTCTAGAGATTATAGCAGAACGTGTCCCAACGTTAACGTTGTTAAACGTTGTTCAATATAGTGTAGAAATCTTGACTAGAGATTAAAGCAGAACGTGTCCCAACGTTGACGTTATTAAACGTTGTTGAATATAGTGTAGGGATCTTGTCTAGAGATGAAAGCAGAACGTGTACCGACATTGACGTTTAACGACGTTCTTGTAATCTGTAAGGTCTAAAATACCCACAAATCGGAACAGAACGGCTGGTAACGTAGACGTACCTAAACGTTGTTGCCCCTTTGATAGATAATAATTTTAGCAATATACCGGTGCGTCCTTGAACGTCAACGATTACTGACGTTACCGACAAGTCATATGCAATATTTTGTTTGTGATACGGCGATACGAGTATGGACGTCCTCAAACTTTGTATGGAGTAATCATGCGCCACGGCCTATAAGTTGAATATTATGGTATGCGTGCATGAACGTGTTAAGAAACAATGAAAGATTGAGTGAGATATTTATCTCGCGTCGCCAACAATTATGTATTAGGTACTTACATGTTCTAAAGTATTTAATGATTTGATCATCCTACCCCATTATACTGATGGAATCATCATCATTATTTTGAGAATAAACATTAAATTAAACAAAAAATTACAAATGTTTGCTTAAGCATCTTTTTTAGCTGTCTAGATTTGGTTTTCCAGAAAATGTTAGAATTATAGACACAACACTTTTATACAGGTTTATTATAATTTATGTATTATGTAACTCATTTTATACTATGTCCAGCACTTTTTATTACTTAAAATTTGAAAAATCTATCTAGTTAATAACTAAAGCCGGCGGTATTTATATATTTCTTTTATTTTTTTTAATATGCAAATTACGGTACACAATTATTGTTGGGTATTTAAATACTATACATGTTTTATAATCGTAATTTTGGAGGTAATACTAATATAATTAAAAGATGTTTGGTGCTCGAGAGTACATACTAGACTAACAGCTCTGACTGCACCAGCGTAGTCAATCGTTGCTCCACTAGTATTTTGCAATGTCGCGCTCCAAAAGCAACATGAGCGCGCAGGCGGCGCGACACTTTCGGGTCGTCGAACTCGCGACGGGTGAAATTATATTGTTTAAAAGGTATCTTCTCGTTAAAATATAAGTAATATTTTCCATAACAATTATAACTATAGCATTTACCTTTAATCAATAATTAACCATTGAGTTGGTTATGTTTTTCATTTATTTTTATTCAATCTCTACGTAATCCTTATATCATGTCACACAATTTTTTTTACGTCATTGTCAGCTGTTTGATAAAGTGCTTTTAGAAAAGAAAGAGCCAAACAAGTTAATGTGTGCGTATTAGACTAGAACTTCTAAAATTAATTAAAATTAAAATTTTGTACAAACGATTTCAATATAAATAAAATGAATAATTCAATGTAGTCGAAGTTTATTAAATACGCATTATTAAGGATAACTCAAAAACTACAGGTTAGATCTTGATCAAATTTATATGGGCACCCACATGAGAAGCACCAGCTTTCATATGAAAAAAGCCATCAAAATCGGTCCACCTAGAAAAAGTTCTTAAATAACATAAAAAAATACAGTCGAATTGAGTACCTCCTTTAAATTATGTTACATCTTTTTAACAGATTGTACTTTAAACTGTTGTATTTACTAGATTTTATTTTCCTCGTAATGCAAAACTGGTTGAATTCAAGTAACTAGCAGGCTTACCATCGAACGACACACCTTACGACTCTGTTCGCCTTGGATAAATGTAGAGGCGCCTTGCCGCAACGCGACAAGAAGTGTGGCAACGCCGCATGTTTCGTACGTGTGTTCAGGCGATTCGTATGTACTATAGCTGTTACTGTTAGTATGTTTGTAGATGCGTATTGAACGTCCATTCCATTCTCCGCTCTCGCTTGCGGAAGTCAATATATAAGTTCTTTGTCAGTTTAACGTATATAATATAGAATTTGTATTTTAATTACCACCTTTAAACATAAATATATACATCAAAAGTACTCTTATAAGAGTACTTTCGTTGATTAGATATTTATGTGCTTTATACAAAATCTGTATTAACCGTATTATATTTGATAAGAAAGGTAATTTCCAAGAGTTCGAGACAACAACGTCGCTATTCGTGACTTTTTTTATATTCGACGCGAGTTTTTATGTATGCTTACCGATTTCTCGGAAATGGCTAAACCGAATTAAATGATTCTTTTTTTTTATTATATAGGTATTTTATAATACTTCATGGATGTCACACCACCTCACATATAAAATTATAAATAAAAAAATCTGAAAAACAGTTGACCCTGCAGGCCATCCCTGGAACTTCCCGCTATGTTCGATCTCTAAACGCTCTACAAATATATTTACGAACTAATAGTTACCTCATTACATCAAAAACTATCCGAGCAGAAATTACGAAATTATTAAAAATTAAATTTTTTATTTGAATTTTTGATAGCGATAACTTTCTGACCCCGAATTTGAAGCGGTTCGCAGCAATCGACTTCGTTTTCCATGTTCCAGAGTTGATTAGATTTTGGAATGAATCGTTACATATCTGTTAAAAACATTTATATTATATTCTATTTATATATGTTAGTGGAATCCTCGTAGGAATAATCAGACTTAGGTTTTCGAAAATTGGGGTTAAACCAATAACTAAGCGGTTTTTTTAATTCGTTGATTTTCGTAGCGGGAAGTTAAAATGGGTAGAAAAACAGGAAATTAAAATTTAAATGTACTTATTTAAATGGTTGTTGTAGTAGTATTTAAATGGTAGTGGTAGTTAAATCGTAAACATTTTGGTTGTTACCTTGAACTTGTGATATTCCTTATATCACTCAAAGGAGTATAACGAAACTTAATAAAAAATAAAACTGACATTAAAACATGAAAAAATAATTTCCACATAATAGTACTACATGAACTATATATATTGTGAGAAAGACCTCATGACCTCAGATGATGACGATATATACCATCTCTAGACAGATGCAAATTACACACACTAGTGACCAAGGTGTTCCGAGCGTGACGTTTGTTCCCACAACTAGAGAGTACTCTTACGGGCTCATAGAAAAAAAAGTGGAAGAAATCATCACCAGTAGTTAACCAGATGTTAAACCAATGGTGATCATGACCTTAAAAACCTTAAACCTTCGATTGAGAAAATATTAAGGATTTGTATCCCAACATGCACTTGAATAATTTTAAATTACAATTTGATTTTTATGAATCAAATTTGTACTTGTTAAGATGTTCTGCTGTATGTTATTATAGTTTGAAACGGTTATGTTTGCGGGTATTGAGATATAATTATTACATGCTTGACACTTGGTTGTAGGCAAGAATTTGGAATAAAGAAAGTAATAATTGTATTTTCATTTTTTTGGTAAAGTCATCTCTTGGGCCGCGTTTTAACCTGCAAGAAACTAGCGGAAGTTTTTGCTACAATAAAAAGCTCGCGAGTCATACTATCGCCACTTATCACAGAAATATTTACATACAAGAACTATAGATGTCGCAAAGTCTATGGCAAATAAGTTTCGAGTGTTGTTGCAGGTGGAAACGCAGCCTCAGAATTAATTTTCCGTGTCCTACGTTAGGTATTTACGGTGGGAGCGTCAGCTAGTCCCACACCAGGAACCAGTAGTAGACCATTTCAA